AATAGCTCACACCATTAGCCATGAAGTAAATGACCAAATTTGGCCAAGAAACCAGGTGGAGCTCCTATGTTTCGAATTGTGCCCTGGGATATCTAATATCCATCTGAACAAGCAGACTGCACCTCATTTTATCATCTCATTTGAAGTATGGCACGTTCTATGGTGGAACGCTGCACCAAGACTGTACTGGAGCGTCAGGCTAATCTGTGATCTTAAAGTCCCAATTTAGGACTTGAATCTGAAACTTTCTGACTTGGAGACCAGAATGCTGCCAACTGAGCCAGGCTGGCATCCAATGATTAATGCTGAGTAACCAAAAGGTGCTCTTGAGGAAAGGTTGGACAACCTGAGAGTGTCCTCCAGATCAATGACAGGCTAAGAGTAGCTCTTCTAAATCTGGTAAATAGGATTGATTGAATAAGATTCAAGGAATTTAACTAATTACTGTGATGCTTTGGGTAGCTACATATTGATATCAGATGTGTTAAAGGCCTGCAATGTGATCAGCAAAGAATAGGTTGGAATTCATTCTTGTGATGAGTGTATTGGGGCAGCTTGTGACTTGATATGGAATTGTAGAATGACAGAAGACTCAAGGAAAGCTCACCTAAATTGCATTTATTATTTTCACCTGCTTATACTCCACTTCTCTATCCAACCCTTCATTCAGCTGGCTCCGGCCTCCTAAACATCCCTCACCCCCTCCGCTCCACCATCAGTGCCCTGCTTTCAACTATTACGCTCTGAGAGTCTGGAACTCTCTGCCTCAATCCCTCCACCTTGATCCTCCTTGTATATCTTCAAATCACATTCTTCGACATGCCATCCCTCTCTCCCAGTCTCAGTGTCAAACTCTGCCACTGTTAAGCATGAAAAAGCACTGTAGCTACCTCAAGTAAAGGATGCTATATAAATGCAAGTTGTTGTTGTTTTCCATACTTTTTTTGACCTAGTGCCTCATGACGTTTTCATGACGAAGGCGGAAGCTATGGATGTAAATGGCCAGATCTTAGATTTTATCTGGAATGTGTGTTTCAGCTTCAAGATCCATATAAACATTGTTGAGAAAATCATTGAACCGATCTCTCTTGAAGGAGCAGTAAGACAAGGTTGTTCATTGTCACCTACTTTATTTGATGTGTCCATCACTGTTGTGTTGATGGCGGGCTAATAAAAGGGACTAATTGAAAATGTCTGTTGCAGGGGTTTCAGATGGAATTGCAGTGATTCCATTTTTAGACAATACTGTTGGCGGTTACTTGCCTGGTGATCTTGTGAGCAGCAGTCGCCATCTTGAACCCTGGACACTGAGTGAACATGATGCTGAGTGCCCCAAATGTAGTATTCTAGACTGTGCAGCTCAAGAGTGGAACAACAACAACAACTTGCACTTATGTAATGCAAGTTGTTGCTGTTGATGAAGATATCGTCTTGAAGATACAAGAGGCTTTCGGACCAATTCTTGATTTGTATCTGTACCTGGGGATTGCGGTGCATACCAATATGTATTGCACTTGGACTTCTAGAACATCAAGATGGCTGGCAATTCACAAGTTGCCCAATATAGGTTCTTCCACCACCATAAGGTAGATGTCCTTGATGGGGAATCTTTGTTGCTTCAATGACAGTTGCTCGAAGGTGTTACCTGGAATCCTTGTTCATAAGCACAGGCTGATATAAGTGAGGGCTCAGATCTGTGCTTGTTAGATGTCTAGTGACCAACTGCTGACTACCTTCCTTGGTGGATGATGTAAAGAAGATTTGCTTGTAACTAAGTCAGCTCGCAGGTGATATGCATGTCAATGGAAGATCAGAGTTGAGTCTATTTTCTGTGATGGTCTCAGTAGTCTGATGCCTGAGCAGATCAGTCTGTAATACTCCAAGGCACTGTTCATGATGGATCTGCGAGCCTGGCTCATCAGCAGGACTCAGTGGGGCAGAAATTCTTCATACTCAACACCTGTTAACTCTGCAAGTAAAAGCCCTAACAGTTAGTGTGGTCATAACTGAGTAAGCAACATGAAGACTGCCAGTGTTTGTCATGTTAAGCTGCACAGTTTTAACTGGTTAATCTCCTGTAGCAACCCAATGCACACTCATGCGTCCTCAAGTCTTGACTTTTCCTAAATTCTCCAGGATTATGTAAGCAGGCAATGTGCATCCCTCCGGGGAGAGATTGTGCATTCCGTGTAAAAAAAACAAAATGCTTAGTGATGTGGAACTCTTAGTGGTTTGGTTTAAAGATTTTTGTATATTTTGATAGGTTTCCACATTTGTTAAGGATGACCAAAGAAAATATGATAGATTATGTACATTTTTTATTTTAATTTTTTATTGTTAAAAAAGGCTAATTCTCCAACTTTACAGGTCTGAACTCATTGATTCTTAAATTAAATGCTCTGCTGTAGTTTATAATATCACACAACCTTTTATAATGATTGAATTCTCTATATTAGAATATGGCTGCCACATATTCAGAGCAGCTAATATCTCTTTACTTTATAATGGCTCATAGCTCCTTACAGTGATGGTTTCAATGCATTATTCCAAATGGCTTCCACCGCAGGCTAATGTCTCTGCAATTTACAATGCCTCCTTCTTATTTACAATGGATCACATTTCTTCACACTGTGAACAATGTTCGCAGAAGCTTAGGCAGATTCTCAACATCATGCATTCCTAAAGTAATAAAAGTGATCAATTCCATCTAGGGAATTATTGATCAGGACCCTTTATGAATGGTGGTCATGGGATCTATAATGTCCACCTGAAAAGGTGGATGGGACCTTGGTTTAATTTTTCATGTGAATGATGTGGCACTTGAATTTTCTTCCCAATATAGTAACAAAAATGATTACCATCTGAGATGAAGTAAATATTAATTCTTGCTCTGAGGTGCTGAAAGATGCACCCTGGCATGAGTAGGTAGTGATTTATTGGCAATGCAGGGCTCCCCCAATACTCCATTGGAGTGTTAGCCTAGACTCTGATTTCAAGGTACTGATGTAAGGCTTGAACCCACAACGTTGTGTCTCAGAGGCGAGAGTGCTACCAGATGAACCAAGCTGATATTTATTTGCATTTGTTGCAAATAGAAAGATTGTTCGCCATAAACTGTTGAATGAGCAGTGGAAACTGACTCTTGAGTCAGAAAGAAAGAAAGAAAGAAAGAAAGAAAGAAAGAAAGAAAGAAAGAAAGAAAGAAAGAAAGAAAGAAAGAAAGAAAGAAAGAAAGAAAGAAAGAAAGAAAGAAAAGACATACCATACAAAATTACATTTGTATAGTGCCTTTCATGTCGAGAGAATTTTCCAAGGCGCTGGGACATACATGGCTGAGGCATGGCAGGACCCTTTCTTTGAGGATTCATGAGGGAGAAGGAAATAGAAGGATATAGGAGATTGGATTAAGAGGGATGAAGTCTTGTGAGGAGTATAATCATTGCCGCGGACTAGTTGGGCTGAATGACCTTTTTCTGTGCTGTAAATAGGTTCTATTTAATTCTGTGCAAAGCTTCCTGATATATGTAGAAGGTCGAAACAATATAACAGAGATGATTGGATTAAACCATATTCACTTCATTGCGTGAACCACCGGTAATGGCACTTAGGTGATCTCTTGCGTATTGCAATCCATACAAACATTACCGTGACTGTGAGCGCAAGAAACAACCTGAAAAGACTGATTTGCATTTTGTCCTAATAAGTTAATGGTATTGTGGAGCATTACATCTGACTTGAGGGCTTCCTTTGAAAAGCAATATCCTCTCGTGAGCGAAATATTTACATGAAGGATGTAACACTTACATTTTCTTCCAAATATAATAAAAAAAATTGCCATCTGGGATGAAATAAATATTAATTCTTGCCTCTGAGATGCTGAAAGAAGCATCCTGGTGTGAGTGGGTACTCACTTAATGGCAAGAAACCAACACTCAAGCAGCTGCTAAATCGTGAGTAACCTGGACTATTCACAGATCCCCCTGTGTGTCTGGGCTAACTTTGCTGTGTATTTTCAGCTCATGTATAGTGTTAATATTTCAGTAAAAACTCCACTCAAATATGAGATGTAACATTTTTACTGTAATAGTATCCCATAATTATTCAAATAGCTAGAATCACATTGTTAATAATATTAGAATGATAAAAAATAAAATTGCATTAACTGTAAACACTTTTTTGGGCTGAATGCTACCTTCAGTTTTTCAGCTTATTTTTCTTCACTATTCTCTTTGCCTGTTTTAAGCATAATTGTGCTTTGTCAATACTTGATATTTCCACCAGTTCCCATTGTTGTTTTGGAATTGGGAAACAATTAAAACAAAATCTTAATAATAATAATTAATAACAATCCATATACTTGGTATAGCTCCTTTCATATCAGGAGGATGTCTCAAAATGCTTCACAAGATACACTGTAAAGTGGAGTGACTGTTTTATAGGTGAACATGGCAACCAATTTGTACAGAGCAATGCCCCTGCCATGATGCGAGTGATCGATTTTATCTGGGGGAATATCAGACAGGACATGGTGGGGAGAGGGAGAGAAACTCACTTCTCTTTTCTAACTTTTGATTGACTGGAAACTGTCTTCTGTTTGAAAGCTCAGACTTGGAATGATTGATATGGCAAGTATCATAGCAAACTTGTTCAGGGTGTTCAAAGCATGAACTGATTGTCGGCTTGACAGGAGGGTGGAAAACACGATATTTTCGACTGCATTGGCGTAGAAATGTACATCTCAAATCCAGCTAGTAATCTGATGTGTGTCGCTGACATGGAGAAACTCCTCCTCAGCGTGCCGGGAATTCGGTGGAATGGTCGTCCTGCGGGTTAACAATGTGCACATCTGGTAACCGGCAAGATTGAGTATATACCAACACCACATTTTCGACTCCCAGAATGTAATGACGGTGAATACTAAATTAATTTCGATTTTGCCACATCTCTGAACATTTGTGTTGAAATCTAGCAGTGAATCTACTGTTGTTCTGTGCTTCTAGCCTCCTATTGCAGTTTGAACAGTATCCCTTTGAACGGCGGTGTGCTGAACAAGACAGTGGGCTCACTTGGTAGCACTCTGCACTTTTACTGTAACCCGGGGTACAGAATGGTTGGTAAGAGCAATGCCACCTGCAGACGCTTTCGCAACGGCCTATTCAAGTGGGATTCCTCAGTGCCACTCTGCCAAGGTAAGACATACTCGTACCATCGATGGCAAGCAAGTATTGTCGCTTTCCGTGCATTTCAGTGACATTTCCACTTGGAACTCTGCTTGCGTTAAAGAGATATTTACTATCATAATTAGCTGCTATTTGTAATATTGTCAGTGACACTAATTGAATGCAGTGCATTGACATTTTGCGGCATACACGTGTTTCCCCCCCAGTGCTGAGATTTGCTCTGCAAGACGTATGGACCTGGGGCTAGTGCTGATGATGTTTAATGGGCTTGGATCGCTGGGGGAGTAGTAGCTGAAACACTTGATACAACAAGCAACATATGTTTTTAACCTCAGTAACGTGCAACCTAAATATAACCCCTGCTCGCATGTGCTAGGGAGTTTTACTGGAAGTGTCATTCAACTTGTGAGCTCTGTTTGTTACTGAGGGATACATTTTGTCAAAGGCATTCCAGGAATCATGGATCACACAACTTGCTGTGGTTGTTCTGTTGATTGGGTGGGCAGCAATGGAGAGGTAGGGTGGGTACATGTGGGGTCTAAAGGGTCTATTTAATTTGAACCTTGCAGGGCTTTTTTATAAGGTGAATACATAATTGAAAGCTTTTAGCATAGGGAATCCAGAACAAGTGGAACATAATCTTAATAATAAGTAGAACCAAGCTGATTGAAAGTGAATCCAGAATATATTTCTTTAAGCAAGAGGTTGTCGGAATGTGCTGTGCAGAATCAATTGAGCTATTTTAAAGGAGTTATAGGTAAATACGTGGGAAGAAAAGGTGTCTTGGGGTTATGTAGTCAAGGTAACAATGTTCACTTATATTTTCTTTCAGTTATTTTTGTTCAGTGCTCTGAAACATTGAAAACGTGCTCCATTAAATACAAATATGATTAGTATTACTGAAAGATTTAAAAGAGCTGTCAAGAAAGAGCAAAATAGCAGATCCATTTTGAAAGGCCAAATGGTCTGCTTGTGTTTTGCTATGTTAAATAATCATAATAATTATTCTTGCATTTCATGTAGTGCCTTATCACATCATCAAGTTGTCTCAAACCCTTCACAGATTTTTTTTTAACTGTGAAGTGGAGTCACTGTGTATTGTAGGCAAACATGGCAGCCAATTTGCAACCAGGAGTATCCCACACACAGCCATCAAGCGAGTGACCAATTTTATCTGAGGGTTTGCTGGCCAGGAGATCAGGAGAAACTCCATTCTCATTTCAAATAGTGTCATGGGATCTTTAACATCTACCTGACCAGGTAGGCGGGACCTCAGTTTAACATCTCATCTGATGCACAGCACGTCCGATGTTCTCCCAAAACTACATTTAAATGTTCCATCAATGTTACTGACAGATTCTAACACTGATGTACAGCAGGAGGATTACTTAAAAGTTGCCTTGACACCTTTCTCATAAAGAAAAGGCACAATAATGGAGACACTGACACTCCTCACTTTCATACCTTCACTTCACGGAATCGCTGCCACTTTTCACTCAGAAAGAGTGACGTGAAAGTTTTTACACCTGGCAAGTGGGGTTTCCATGAGATGTCTATCAATGGGACACCAGTAGCACACAAAAGGTCAAAGCTAATTCCTGCACTAATATAGAGTATGAGCCTGAGCTGATTGAAAGTGAATCCAGAATATAGTTTTTCATGCAAGAAGTTGAGAGTGTGCAATGCAGCTCTTCAGAAGCCATGAATGCAGAATCGATTGTTTATTTTTGAAAGAGTTAGAGATAAATACTTGAGAACAAGAGGTAACTGGAGACATATGAATTAAAAGTAACAACATTCACTCATTTTATTTTAGTTATTTTTGTTAAGTGGCAAAAAACAAGAACAATAACTTGCATTTATATAGCGTATAGCGCCCCTCATACAGAATAGCATCCGAGAGCGCTTGACAGTGGCAGAGCATCACGCCGAGACCAAGGGAGGGGGAGGTGATGTTCGAAGAGAAAGGTCTTCAGGTGCGACTTGAAGATGAGGAAGAAGGTGGAGGGATAGAGGAAAGGATTTGAAGACTCGTGTGAGGATCTTGAAATCAATCCATTCGGTGATGGGAGCCAGTGGAGCCTGGCTAGAACTGGTGTGATGCGGATAGGGAGTTTATTGCCCTATGGGTTCAGCAAAGTGTGACCTTCCTGACAGCTGCTGAGTGTGTGATTCTGTGAACATTGTGTGTCTCCGCACCCTGTTGTTCTCATGCAGAGCTGGGATCCATTCTAATAGCTCAGAGGTTCCCTTATCTGAAAAGTTGTTTTATCTCACTGTTTGAAGAAAAAATTATGGTATATTTAGTGTTCACAAATCTGTGCTTTAAATAGCAGTAGTAGCTAGTCTTGGATATATTATTGTTATATAATGCATAACTCGCTTTAAAATGCACAAAATATCTTGTCTACTCAAGAATTGGAGTGTTCCTATGCTGCCACCCTGTGATCATTAGTGATATTGCACATAGATTCAACCGTTCGTTGCTTTTTGTCTTGTCTCTCTGTGCTGACATGTGCCTAATAACTCTTAGGGAGAGAGTGTGCATTTCATTCCAAACACAAATACATTTCCCATGGGTAGGTGGCATATACATGTGGAACTCTCAGTCTGGTTACGATACTCTTAAACATGGTGATGGGTTTCTGCCTGTGTCAGATACCTGGCTGACCAAAACANTTTTTTCCCATAAAAAACATTTTGAAGGAAGACTGACACACATTGTGTGTGCACCAACAAAGCATACAACTAAAAGTAGCAGAAATGCACAACAACAAAAAAGCTCTTATTTGGTGCCTTTCATGTAGGAAAACGTCTCAAAGTGCTTCACGATTTCTGAGTGGAAGCCCGAGCTAGGGGAAGGTGGACAAAGGCACAGTTGAAAATGTTTTCAGGCAGTTTGTGAAAGCAGAGGTGGAGGTATTTTGGAACAGAGCTCCAGAGAGCAGGGGCAAAGTGGCTGAAAGCTCATCCGCTGATGGATAATAATAATAATAATAATCCTTGCATTTGATATAGCGCTTTTCACGTCGGGAGGACGTCCCAAAGCGCTTCACAGAATATACTGTAAAGTGAATTGACTGTATATTTGTGGGCGAACGCGGCAGCCAATTGCGCACAGCAATGTCCCACAAACAGTCGTGGATTGAAAATTACCAATTTATTATTGTTTTTGGTTTTGGAGGGATTATTATTAGGCGTGTGGAGTAAGGAAACTTGCCCAAGGTTTCGCCCTCTGCCTGGAATTGAACTCAGGTCTCTCACTTGCAAAGCGAGTGCTCTAACCACTGAGCTACAGGACTCCAGGATGGGTGGAGTGGATGCAGAAATGAAACAGACCAGCGATGGCGGAAAGGAGGGGCTGAAAGGAGGGGCTGGGCAGAGAGCAAAGAGATTGCACAGATAGGGTAGGCCAAAGTCATGTGTGAATGAATCTTAATGTTGCTCCACTGAGGGATTAGGATCCAGTGAAGCCAGACAAGAATGGGAGTGATAGGCACATGCAGCTTAATGCAGGAAAACATCTTGAAGCTCTTTAGTGTAGTGTAGCGACTATATTTTGTAGATTAAATCCGGAAGCTAATTTGCACACAGCAATAACCCACAAAAAGACATGAAGTGATTAATCAATTGTATTTGTGGGATTGTTGGCCGAGACACTGGGAGAAACTCCTTTCTCTTTTCAAACAGTATTATGGTTTTTAACATCCACTGGAATGATCAGATGGGAACTCAGTTTAAAGTCTAATCTGAAGGATGGGATCTCTGACAATGTGGCTCAGCCTCCGGCACTGCATTGGAGTATCCTCTACAAATAAACCGTAGCATGTTTTTATCAGTTCAAAGTCTCCACACGGGGCTTCAACATGCAACCTTCTGACTCATAGGCAAGGGTGCTACCGACTGAGCCAAGCTGACACCCATTTCCAGTAATCAAAGAATGTTTGGTTGCCTTGGCACCAATTCTTTTGGATTTTTTTCCCAGGTTATTTTTTGCGTCAAGTGAAGTTGTCCCCTCCCATCCCTCACATTAATTCCTAATTAAAATCAAGCCAAGTGCTTTGTGATCTCTGTCAAATGGCCCCAAACAAGAAGAAGCCAGAAGTATCAGGCAACTTAGCCCCCAGCTGGGTGTCTCTCCTGAAAGGCAGGACTGAAAACAAGAATAGAACTTTCGGAAATTTGTGGTTGTCCTCTGCAAATAAACCATATGTAGAAACTTACAGCACTGAAGAAGGCCATTCGGCCCATCATGAAGAATCACTACACTTGAGAGTAATTCTCGTTGAGATGTTTTGGTGCTATAATACTCCGAGACTATCATGCATGAAGGATGCTATATAAATGCAAGTTCTTGTTGTTTTAAAGATGATATTTCAAACTGCAAGGATTATAACAACTTGCTTTTATATAGCATCCTTCATGCAGGGTAGCATCTCGGATCGTTGAAATTATTTTTATTATTACTAATAACTAGTCTTGATTTTATTTTTGGTCATAACTATCACATTGTTGCAATTTCTTGACTGCTATTTACTGGGAGAGTTGATTCAGATCGCAGACAGAGCTCACCGAGCAGCACAAAACAGCCGAAGTTTGTGTCACTATGGCAGGTTGGACGCTTGGTTGATAGAAAAATGAATTCCAGGTACTTTGTCTTCATTTGGCTGTGCTGACAACATCATTTAGAAAACAAGGATCAGTTTAGTCATTACACAGGGCAGTACCTCTTCATACGTTTCCTATACATCTGTTTGCTAAAATCCAATTTCATTGCAGAATATGTCAATGCCTAAATGTCAGGAAAGGCCCAATTGTCATGTGCCTTTAATTAAAACATTACTTGGTGGGAGGAGCAGCAGAAGGAGGGGGTGAAAATCTGCCGTTTCTGTTGAAATTTTGCTTTTCACTGTTTCACAGTGGAAAAAGCTGATCTCAGAAAAGCATATTTCTGTTTCAATAGNAAAAAATCTTAGAATTCTCTTCTGACCATTATTTTATAGACTTGT